CCACGCTACAATTTCATATCAATTGCTATTCATCCTTATCGCAAAGTCACGTCTAATGTTTACTCTAAACAATGTGAGAAATATGTTTAAATGAAGCCACATCATTCATAACTTGGGGATATAAAGATCCAACATTGTTTCGTGGAGGAGGATAGTGTTGAAAAATCTATGGTTTAAATTCTAGATATCAATGATTTCAGTACAAAACCGACATGCTGGTTGTATACAATTCCAGGTGAGTCTGTTCGGATTTCGTTTGTTAATTCCAATACTAATGAGCACTTTCTAGATACTACAAAGTTTTTGTCCTATACAATGTCGGACAGACTCAGGATGAACTTAACAAGAAGACGTACAACCGATTACAAACACTTATACTTCTATTTAAGCTGTGGCGGATGTGGTGTTTGAACGAACTAATAATACCTTTGTACTTGTGGAATGCTCGATTTCGAATTCCAAATACAGTACATGCGTTTGTGTTTGTGTCTTACTTCTTGATTCAATTGCGTTATTTCTGGGATTCCTAGTTCATACTATAATTCCAATAATTCGAAATACCAAAATATTTTGATCTGTAATTAGGATGTTATGGTGTCACATACTGTCATAGTATAAAGTGATGCAGTTCTTAATATCTGAAGTTCACTTATTTTCATAATAATAATTATTATTATTGGTCCCTTGATACATTAGATAATATTTTCGTCCCTTGTTTTCCTCCTAAACTTATTATATTCATAAACTCACAAAGTCTATAACTAAAAACAAATTATCTTATGTCGCGCTTAAATAAATTAACTTCTCAAATTAATTTTATCATCACCATATATATATATAACACATAGAAATTTATATTTGGTCATCCTTTGCATCCTTATTTGTAACTTTTATAGCATCATTCTGAATGATTATTGCACAAGAATTTATACTAATATCAAGTTTTACTCTGTACCCTAAAACATAAATTTCCGTGTATTTACCCGAGTGAACTGAAAAATATTTAAAAAAATTAATGGTTTACTTCAGAGGTCGAAATTCATTGCACTCTTATTATTATGGTTGAACACTTTCAGTAGGTATTCATTTCTTTTTCTCTCTCTCCCTTCTTTCTAAATAAATGTTGTTCTTAAGTATCCGAAGTTTGTAAGTAAGACAATATCTTGTGTTACACTTGAACTAACTTCTCAGATTCATTTTATTTTCACTATGTATATGTGACTCAAACATAATGATACTTGATTATCCTTTGCAAGTAATTTGGACCTCATAGCATCACTCCAAACCATTACTGCACAAACACTTATTCTACTTTCATATCTTGCAGCAGTAATAAGTTATTTTCTCATTTCTTCATTTAATTTCAATCTTTTTTCTTCTTGTTATCCATTTGACGATACATACATAGTCGTTTATTCTTGTTTTGTGTTCACAAACACGCTTCTTAAGCTGTGTATTTTGAGTTGCCATTGCCTCATTGCCATTACCTTATTTTCTCCCTTTCCTTCTTTAAGGTCACCTCAATATTCTTTTCAATTGCACATAACCTGTTTTTTTTCAAATATGGTAAATATTATGCCAACATTATTGAAACTTGTGCATTATTCCATTTCTGTAGGAACCCGAAACGGTTTCTTCACATCACTTATGCACCCGTAAGCTGTTTGTGAATGATAATAATGATAATAATAATAATAATAATAATGATAATGATAATAATAATAATAGAGATTGGTGGAGTGATATGTTTGAATGTAAGTAGACTTCGGGTTCAGATGGTAGCGGTAAATAAATCCCCCAAATAAACAGTCCTATAAGCCTTCGGCATTTGGTGCTGACCGCACTGGTTTTACTGGACTCACCTCGCTGAAGGCGCTCGGTCACACATCCGCAATAGTCCACGAGTTGGTACGCCGTGTTACACATCCCTTGCAGCTGTTAGCCGGCTTAAACCGAACGATTCTCGACATATCGATAGCCTTTAAATTATATCTTTGAACCTCTTCACTTATGACTTCTGATTTGACTGGGTTAGCATCCTTAGAATGTAAAAGTGTTATTGATAAAATTGTTGTAAAACTCCGAATACTTGTGAAATCTTTAGTGATGAGAACGACGTGATCTGGTACACTAACTAGTGAACTGCGAGTCTGTTCCTTGTTGGAACCTGATATATCATTTTTCAATTTTATTCTTACATACTGTGATAAAATTTTCATATTTTTGAACTTTTTTCCTGCTCGTTGCTGTATTATATCTTCGTTACGATGGAACAGATAACTAAGTTACCTAAGATTGAACCTCCTCTGCCTCCCACTATTCACTTACATACTTACTTACGCCTGTTACTCCCAATGGAGCATAGGCCGCCGACCAGCATTCTCCAACCCACTCTGTCCTGGGCCTTCCCTTGCAGTTCTATCCTATTTTTATTCATTTCTCTAATGTCTGTCTTCATTTCTCGCTGTAATGTGTTCTTTGGTCTACCTCTTTTCCTTTGGCCTTGAGATTCCATGTGAGAGCTTGTCTTGTGACGCAGTTGGGTGCTTTCCTCAATGTGTGTCCTATCGACTTCCAGCGCTTCTTCCTGATTTCTTCCTCCACTGGGATCTGGTTTGTTCTCTCCCACAGTTGGTTGTTGCTGATAGTGTCTGGCCAACGGATCCTAAGTATTTTGCGTAGACAACTGTTGATATACAACACTTGTATCTTCTGGATGATGGCTTTCGTAGTTCTCCAGGTTTCTGCCCCATACAGTAGAACTGTCTTGACGTTTGTACTGAAAATCCTGATCTTGGCGTTGGTTGACGGTTGCTTTGAGTTCTTTCACTATTCAGCCAATACAATATTCATCCAATAATTTAGAATCCTGGTTCTGATACACGGGAGCTGACTTTCACTGGCACAGTAAGACAGACCTATGTGCACAATTCCCCACAGCAGTAAAAGCGCAACCGCTCGATTTTAACAGGTACATCACACCTAGTATGTATACTGGTGGTGTTTCGAGACCTTGCGATTGTTCTTAAGTGTGGGGACCTAACCAACCGACAAAGGCTGGGCTTACTCTTCCACAATATCGAGCTGTAAGGCGGCTCAGCAAAAAAAGGTTACTATGTATATGAGAGTTGATTGGCCAATGGACCTTTGACGAGGGCCCGCTTAGAGGACCTGTTTTTTCTAAGTTTCCTCCACAGGCAGCCCTTGTATCATTTCAGAATAACGCCGGAGACGAATTAGCTGCATCTGCCGAATGTATTCTGGAGATCACCAGAATCCCCAACATCGATGTTTCTTTTGAAAAAAAAAGTTCAAACAACTCAAAACGACACGACAGATCTCTGTCACACTCTAAATTGTTAGCCCGACATTTAACGTAATCGTAGACGCTCTTAAACTCCCCGAAGAAGCATGACACGGCGTACATCCGTTTCTCGTCCACGAGAAACAGATAATTCTTATTAGTGCTGATACCATAATGAATAATCAAATCTTCTCGAAACTGCAGGAAACTCCGTAGTTTCACGAGCTCCAAACCATCCAACACAAAAAAACCTTTCAGGAAACTTCCAAACCGTCACGCGTTAACGGCACCTGCAGCCGGAGGGCATAGCCGTCTGTTACACAACACTGACATATTGACGAAAATTTGCTATCTCATCGACACTGGAGCAGAAGTAAGCGTTATTCCGGCAACTTCTAACGATCGATCGCACAGTTCTGCTAGAACACTATAGTCTACCCATCGTTACGCAAAAACGGATTTAAGTAGACGAAAAGATTAATTTATCTATTTGTATGATTTCCTTTTCTAGTTGTAGGTCATCCCCAATCACTGTTAAGCACATAATCGATCTATGCTATCAACAGATACTCGACAAGTACCTCGAGCTGTACCAAACACGAAAAAAGTTACCGTGTGCAACCGGCAGCGTTAAAAACGACATCACCAATACAGAAATACCATTATTTTCAAGAGCGTGACAACAAGCTTCCGAAAAGCTATGGTTGGCCAAAAATGAATTCGACCATAAGGTAGATTGCACATGGTCCGTAAAAGGACAGCAATGATTGGTTTTCAACTGATGGCTATTAGCGACTGAATGCGAAAAAAATTTCTGATTGTTACTAGTTGCCCCACATTTACGATTTCAAAGTTATCTTAAAAGACACAACTGTTTTTTCGAAAATTGGTTTGGTTAAAGCCTGTAGTCAAATTCTCACGGCTGCTGACGAAGTTCCTAAAACTGCTATCATCACCTCCCTTTGAACTCCAGGAATTTTCGCGCATGTCCTTCGGTTTCAGAAATGCTGCACAAGCATTGGACAGTTTCGTCGATGACTTCTTTAGAAATTTCAAATTCATGCATGCAGATGCAGATGACCGCTTGATCGCAAGTCAGGACAGAGAATCTCATCTTCAATATTAACACCTTGTTTTCGAATGGCTTCAAAAATATGGCATTACTGTAAACATTCAGAAATGTCAAATTGGTTCCTACTCCCAAGATTTCTCTGGACATATTATTGATACTCAAGGCATCCGCCTTCTGTAAAGCAAGGTAATAGCCATTGTGGATTATCAAGAACCAATCACAACCAAGTAATTGTGTGTGTTCAACGGTCTATTAAGTTTCTATCGACGATTCATACCGATTAAGGGTCTCGTGCGAGTACAGATGGATCTAAGACAGGAAAAATCGACAGCAACACAAGCTAATGACAAGGATGATAATCAACTAAAAAATATTACCAAAGATGTGTTTAGAAAACTCCTAATCTTAAAGGGAATAACTCAAGTTATACTGTACCAAGTATGCTACTGATTAAATTGATACACAAAAGCATAGTTAATGCACGAGTATGAAGTCGTTGCCCGTTTTTAAAAATAATCTGTGCAACCTAATCACACCGAAACAATGATTTATTTTATTTGGTTAGCAAAGAAAGAATATAGCAGACTGCCTGTCTGATTAATCTGTCTATTGAAAACTGTAATTGTTTGAACTACTTAGGACGAAAGGAGTGGGGTTCAAGGCTACATATCCGTGGTTATAAAGTGGTTTGTTGCAACTGGGATAATGGGGGCTACGAACAAGCTGGAAGACAAAAATGTGGTTTCTGATTCTGGCAGTGACTCAGACGACTCTGCGCCAGAGATAGAAGATTCTAAGGAACAAAGCGATGCCAAAGTTTCACATATGACCGACGAATTACTCAGTCGATGTAAGCAGTCCAGAAGTGAAAAAAAAGCTAGGAAAGCTATGTCGAAGCTGGGATTAAAATTAGTACAGGGAGTTTGCCGCGTAACTATACGGAAAGCAAAGACCATTATGTTTGTAATCAATAGGGCAGAGGTCTATAAATCATCTGCCTCGGATACATACATTATATTTGGTGAGGCTAAGGTAGAAGATATATCAGCCCAAGCTCAGATAGCTGCAGCTGAAAAACTTCGTAGTCAAGCTATGGGAGGTGCTGAGTTAGGGACTTCCAGTGGTCTATCAAAAGATACAGTTTCATCTATCTCGAAGACTGCCATCGCAGAAGAGTCTGAAGATGATGAAGAGGTAAAATGATTATAATTAAGTTGATTCTGCTTAGCCTGATGCTACTGGATTGGACGAGAAAGATGTTGAACTCATTATGCAGCAAGCTGGTGTATCGCGTGGCAAAGCTATTCGAGCACTTCGTGAAAATAACGATGATGTGGTCAATGCTATTATGGTAGGACCTGTTTAACCTAATTATTTTATCTCTTCTAGTCACTCACAGGATAGCCGGAAAATTATAATGACCTGTGATTTGTGTCGTTAATAATTCAATCATTATTTTTGAAAACTATTTCTCACAGCATCGTATTCTTAGTAAATTTTTTTCACTGGTTTCGAACTTTTACATTATTTGATCGCTTGTCTTTTTTTGCATTTTCTCAAGAAGTACAGACATAACACAGAAGAATGCAAAGCATTTTCAGTAGTGGTAAACTAATTTAGATTAATAATGTTGCCGAAATTTAACGTTAGGTCCAACTTCATCTCCACTTATGTATTTTTTTGGTCGTCACTAATTAATTCTGAAAACTTGTTCCTTGAGAACAATAGTATATGGGTTAACCTTACGTCTAGGTCACTGACAATTGTGGTTGTAACTCACCAAGTACATACTTTTGTACTTGATCAAAGTAAAATAGATGAAAAGCGTTCGTGCACCAGGTCTGTTAAAAATTGAATGGCTTCATTATAGTTGTTACGAAAAGTAACTTGCCTGAATCGTTTAATTGTTCATCTCATGCTAATATGCATAGAAACATTATTTGGAATGTTATGTCACTACTGTGTATGCTTTCGTAGTCTTGGTTAGCGGCTGCCTTCTATTGTGTACCAGGTAATTGTACCGTAAAGAAACGAGTTGAACAGATTTGAGGAGCTTTTCATTTTGTATACTGCACCAGGCGAAGATGTTTTCGTTACTCCTAATACTGACAGATATAAATGTATTGTGTTTTGAAGCAGTTTGCTCATATAACAATAGGGACTATGGTATCAGTCACGAAATTGGGATTAACTCGAGAATGACCCAGTTTATCCCGTTTATGTTCCGTAGTATTTTTGACCTGTAATACAATCGTAGTACAATATATGGTGCGAAAAAAAACTGGATAGTGTTTAAGACTGTTGGATTTTTCTGTTACTATTAGTCTAGATAGCACGGAAATCGTCATTCATATACAATCAATAGCGAAATAAATATACCTGTATTTGACCTTTATGATATTTGCAACGTGTTCTACCTAATTTATCGACAGTGCAATTAAAAGATGTGTTTGTTCAGATTATCGTATTGACCAACAGCTTTCATAACCACAGTTCACTGGTTTTGTGGCAGAAATTCGGATAAAGAACTTGTCTGCTTATTCGACTGACTATACATGAAGATGTGAAAACGCACTGGTAGTCTTCTGGGTGACGAAGCTGAGCGTAAAATTTCTGTCACGCAATCAAGGAGTCTCAAAACTAGTTTATTGTTACTGTCATAACCAGCAAACAACAGAACACTGACGCAAATATTCGAGTTCAGGTCAGGAGTATATGTGAGTTGGTAGTGAATCAATCAAAAAGCTTCAAAATTGCGTTTTGAAAAATAGTACAGCCCAGCATGACCAGTTATTATGAGTACATGAGAAAAACTCTGGCGACTTTAAATCATGAACTAAAAGCAGTCCCCTCCATAGCATTGAAGAGTGCCATCAAACTTGTTTCGACAGGAGTTTATGATAACCTTTGCACGAAACTATTGCACTCTGCTTCGTTTGGTACATGAGCTAGGAAAACTAGGTGCTGTAGGACATGCAATGATATGAATTGGCATTGTGCAGTGTTACGTCGTTAATTAGTTTAACAAGGCTGGATTTAACTCACGTCATGTAGATTGGACTGCTCATGTTTCAGCTGTGTTTATGGAGTGGGCTAGTAACTAACATTTTGCTGAAACTGATGTAATGTTTGGACTTATTCGCTGGGAGCTGTATGTTATGCATACGGTTCACCTTGTATAGTGGTGAAAATTCTGAATATTCCCACCTAAGAAGCTTATTCGTTAAACTGTATCACTGGCAACTTCTATGCGACTTGAACAAAATTACAGTTGAATAGCGCTTGCTACTAAGTGTAAGATGATAGTGCCTAGTCAGTCGAATGATTGTTCAAGACATCTGCTTCAGTTTTGGCAACCGAGTAATACCAATAACCGTCACCTCAAACTGAAATGATCTGTACTTGGTAAATAAACTCATAAAATTAACTTTAACGCCTACACCTATTAACTCAATTACTTCAAATGCTTCGACTTATGCACTAGCATCAAATAGCTGTTTGGTTTCAATATATTTGGTTTATGAGGATGTGCTATTGCAAATATAGGCGTTACATGAACTTTCATATTTCCAGGGATTGCTGTGACGAGACTCCGATCTTGCAAATATAACTCGGTTACTCTAAAAGCTTAATTCGACGGTTGCTTTCGATTTTCAGACCTTCCTCGGTGTAAATTAACAATCTCAAAATAATATGGTGTAAAGCGGACTTCTCGTGAGTAATGTTAAGTAAATTCTTGGTCTCTGAATGCTTTGGTCTAAACTGTTCTAAATGAATGGTACAAAGTAGTCATCTGAGTTTTTGACAAAGCGTACTACCTAACGATCCTCTCGTTAATGAGTTCAAATGACGATTATAGTAAGTCGTCATCACACCTATGGGGATTGTATATAGTTAATACACTCGGACCAGTAGTCTAGGACATTGAGAGCATTTATGGTTCACTTTATTTGTATAAAAAACCACACTGAATGAAGTAGATGTAGGACTTCAGACTAATATTGTGGAACTTATTATTTATTTGAACATATAAATATTAGGCCAGGTTTCACGAGCCTAGAGCAAAATTACTCTCACCGACGCGTTGTAGATCTGATCTTTCACAGCCAAACTAACGCCGTTTGTTCCCTCAGGATGCTGGAGCCCGTTTGCACCATTGGTTTGTAATTAGGGCTTTCCAACTCCCCTAGGTAGACCCACCAACCCGGTTAAAGCGCTAGACAACCGATTTTCGTCATCTTAATTTCGTGAACAGCACTTCCGACATGAGAAGGTATGAAGTAGGACTTTTCTGGCTGTAATTGTATGTACATGGCTGTGCGGGTGCATTTCGAAAGAGATCTAACTCCTGCTACCCTTGGCTGCATTAATACGTATCCAACTGCAAAGTTGTCTTCCATAACACATAGCAAAGTCAAACCCCGAAGGATAAGCCGGTTTAAAATGTAAATCTGCGGGCAACATTTAAAGCGACACTTAAGTCACTTCAGCGATTTGTGTCAAAAATTATTAATATAGGTAAAAACGAGCAATAAAGTTGCTTCATGTTTCGGGTTCTAAGCACACAAGCAATGGTTCCTTACAATGAATTTCTTTTGTAAAATACAGGGAATATTATGGTAGGTAGTAGGTTGGTGACTATTCGTGGACAAACTTATTAGTAAAGCTTCAATAAAATGAGAGCCTAGTCAGGATTATCTGCAGGTTTAATCTGTCGAACTTAGAGTATTCGCCGCTCGCCCCTACAACGTTTATGGACTCACGGTGAACAAAGTGCAATTGTTATAAAGAATATTTCTGATGTAATGCGTCATAGAACTACTAGTAGGGTGTATGAAATTTTTGAACACTTGGGTGGGAGTTTTAATAGGTGAGCTATCCATATAGTAAGGACTACATTATACGCGATCAGGAGTAATCTACAATACTAAGAACCTTTTGTTGGGATTACGTCGCGCACACCATTTAAGCTCATGATATCCAAGCTAGGCAGGGGAAACAAAATCCCGGTTGTATCGTAGGCATATTATTCTCGTCCACTCTTCAGTGTTAACGTAAAGTTCAGTAGTGTCTATCTTACAATAGCATGTCTTTGTGACATTGGAAAATGTAGTCCATCCACAGAAAGCATCGGACAACGTTGACAGGTTTCGCAGCAGCACGTACAAAATAATGTGTATTTGGAGTAAAGTAACATATAGTTGGCTTGGTAATTTTGATTTATTAAGTATTTTAGCTCCATATGGCTTTGTAACAGTGTGTGTCATTTAATTGTTAAGATTCAGCAAATAGCAACGGCATTTGTATTTCTTTGAGAATTGCACCCATTATATTATATACCGTTGGTTGTAAAACTGGACGAGACGTCGAATACGTTAATGTGTCTGGTTAAGTAACTTTATGCAATTGCGGGTGACTCTTTTCAGTTATATTGCAGTAGAAAATTCACTATACCTAAAGTCAGTCTGGCTATACAAATACGTTACTATATTTCGATTTTATTCGACAAGAGAACGCAGTAAGAAACGTAGTCCCTCAGTAGATGACACTTAGAACTAGCAGAAGGACACAGTACAGATGCGTCGATAATGAGTACATCAGATGGTGCTAGGACATTAGAGTCATCACATAATTTTAGCACCTAGCGTGTGTATGCACTCTGAGATATAATGTCATTTTGCGACGAAGTAAACTTGTTGAGACACATTGACTATCACAGTCGGTTTACCTTAGTTTTAATCCAAACACAATGATCAAACAGGGTTTTACATTTCAGGCAGCAGTGCAACAGATAATTCGATCATAATGAGAAGCAAATACTAGTATAGCTTATTATTATTACTTGAGAAAATTCTAGAATGACACTACTAATTTAATCTAGAAATATAAAATCACGAACGAGATGAATTTAGAGCGTATTGGGTAACAATCAAAAACGACTTAGTTTGGTCTACTTCAGTCGCAAGTTTGACCAAACATTTGAAATTTGGACCATTTATTATTGAGATAGTTCCGAATAGGAGATATGTTACGGCTCTAGGCTTAAGTATATTCCGTCAAGGACAACTGTGATTAATCTGACTGTAAGGTCCCATATCCTGATCACCACGAAAGCCTTACTGAAACAATAAGTCCTTATAGTTTGAGTCAAGCCCATGCTATCAATCATGGAATTTTTTTTGACTGACGTTTGGAGCCAACATAATAGATGTGGTCGAAAAGTTTGCAGAGCGTCAAGTCAAAAGTTTAAATAATATATCAAGTGGGTTGTTACTTTAGAAGTTTGAGACTGCTAATATACATCTGGAGTTTCCGAGTTCCAATTCTAAGCAAGTCACTATTGGGTGTCAAACACAGACAACATTCCCCGTATACAGGAACCTCATTGCGTCTTCTTATGATTGAGTGACCGAAGGACTTTTACACGAGCAAATTGTGATTAAACATTATGTACGTCATTTATAGTAGACTATGAATTTACAGGGTGTCGATTGACGCTGTTGCAACATACATACCTAGGTTAGTCACTAGTCACATTCAGAAAATTGAATGGAATATCCAATGCTAAACTATATTTATGCAGTTAATATACAAGCTCCCCCAACTGCTTTGATTTTTTCTTCTGCTTTCCGAGAGAAGAACCGGGCTTTGACAATAACTGGGACCTTCGGAAGATATCCCTTGCCTAGGACTTTGAAATAACCCTATAAGGGTCAATTGATACATTAGATGTTGGTACTTACCTTGCGCAAACAATCTATTACAGGAGCTTTACCATCAGTGGAGTCTCTATACTTTTCGTAAGTCGCTTGCGAAACTAAAGACCATATTTTATCCAGGTTAATTGTTGGACAGTAGTAGGGGTTTCTTTTAAGATGATAATGGCGCATACCAACTTTACCAATATAGCCTGGATGGTACTTGTCCATGTTAATACGATGGTGATGTTCAAGACCTGCATTTCCCCGTCCTCCCGGATGCTTGCGATGTTTACCTACTCGTCCATGGCCATGACTTACGTGGCCACGCAACTTCCTTGTCTTTTTGGCCTTGATACGAGACTATAACACAAATAAGATAATTTTCGGAATATAACAGTACTAACCATCGACTCCTGATCTCACCACGATGCAGAGTAGCGCGCCGAAACTATATGAACGATCGGTACATCGTCCAAACAAATGTGCTTCTTTACCACTATAAGAAAGTGGTGGCCTACTTGTCTGATTTCAACGACTGATATCGTTTATTTTCGGGAGATTTCTATAGTAATTAGGTGATGTCTTCATTTTAGACTCTCTAGATAACATTCATATTTTTTGCGTTTAAAATAACTTATACTTGTTACTTCCCTGTAAATTAGTTTGGGTCACCCATCATGATTCTCTGTCTCACTCTGTCGTGGATGATCCTTGCTTGTTTTTCCCACTTGTCGTTCATTCTTTTGACATCTGCTTTCAATTCTAAACGCAATTTGTTCTCCATTCTCTCTATTCCTCTTCCCTTCAGGATTCCAAGTAAGGGAATGCTTCGTGATGCAGTTTGGTGATCTCCGCAATGTGTGTCCCATCCAATTACAACGTTTTTTCCTAATTTCCTATTAAGCTCGAAGCTAGTTTGTCTTCTCTCACAGAAGGCTGTTGCTGATAGTATCCGACCGAAGGATGTTGACTATCTTGTGTAGACAATTTTTTATAAATACTTATACCTTCCTGATGATGGTTGTGGTAGTTCTCCAAATCTCAGTTCCGTACAGTAGGACTGTTTTGACGTTCGCATAGAAGATTCTCACTTTGATATCGGTTGACAGTTGTTTCGAGTTCCTGTGGTGTTTGAATGAACTAATGATTCCTTTGTACTTGAAGAATACTTGATATCGAATTCCAAATACAGTACATTCGCTCGTGCTTATCTAGTACTTCTTGATGTGATTACGCTATTTCTGGAATTGTTAGTTCGTATTATAATTCAAATACTCTTAATCATCACATGGCGTCGCGACTGAGCCTGTGATGGAACAGCTAGATATTCATTCAACTTCTGAAGCTTTTGAGGATTATTTGTAAAGGTTTGAAATCTGGAGCATGACCAAGAAAGATGTTAAAGGTGATAAAATTGTGGCAAATTTCCTGACATTCATCGGAAGAGAAGCGTACAGCTTATTAAAAACTTTGGCATATCCAGAAAAACCTATCTCACTTCCTTATGCAACTCTTAAGGAACTATTATTAAATCATGTAAAGTGCACTAGTTTTGAATGCCGTGAAAGGGCGAAATTTCATAAGATGATTCGTCGAAATGGTTAAAAGGTTAGGGAATTCATCCTTGAATTGCAGAAACATGCTGCCAAATGTAATTTTGGCGATCAACTTCATGTGCAACTGAGTGATCAAATAATTGCAGGAATTAACATACCGGGTTTGGAAGGAGAGCTGTTAAAAATGCCGAATTGTTCTTTTCAAAATGCTAGAACTGCGTGTATTAACTACCAGGCAGTGAATGAATTCGATATCCAGTTAATGAAGATTTCCAATACTTTGCTTAGTCGTCACGATGAAATACAATCTCAGGGTCAATCAAACTAGCGTTCGTTTAACAGTGATTCCTGTTCTCGTGTAAATATGAAAGGTGTCTCAACAAGGAATTACAAAGTAAATCACAAAGGTGAGATCAAGTTTGGTAAATGTTTATCATGTGGAAAGTTTCATTCTCGTAATTCATGTCCATTTCGTAATGTTAAATGTTTTAAATGTGGTAAGATAGGACACATTCAGTCAGTATGCAAAGCTGCTGTCCATTTTGCTCCAAGTAGTACTGTAGTGGCATTAGACCATAATCACACAATCCTCAAAGCTGAACACGAGACTACTTGGAAAATAGATATTCAATATTTAACGCGGAGAAATACCTAACGATGGGGAAGGCGCGAACAAGGAATTGAATGAATTGACGTTAATCGGATGGCATGGCTCAGCCATGCCATTAGGTCTATTATTAGAGCAGTACTAATATCATAGTAGACCATAATTCTACAGTACTAAATCTTGCAATTTAGATCCCACTAATTCAGCTGTTCCTAATGATCATTTATCTTTGTCTACCATTTCGAAAGGTAATGCTCATATTCAAAAGCGATTATATACATCTCTTGGTTTATGTCATGAATTTATTGTGGACACAGGAGTATAGAGTTCATTATTTCATTCCAGAATTTGAAATCTTTAGATCCTAAATTTGTGATACGACCCATTGAAGTATCGATATTAAGAATTACTGGACACAGACTGCTCATACGAGGATGTTGTGAATTGCTAATAAGAGATGATAATTCTTCATAAATACCCTGGGAATTTTTAGTGAGAGAAACAGGACTGTCAACTCTGGGTTTAAAGAATTTGAAAATTCTTAAAGTGGAGTTGTCTTTTCTACTTTCTAAAGAAAATTATGATGCTTTACTTAAAGATTTGATAGCTACGTGTGCTAAATGCAGTGGAGGTATGAAAATTCAGCCTATAAAACTTCAAGTACAGGGTGATCCAGTCTTTCTTAAAAAACGAATAATTCCTTATGGTCTTCGAGAAACAGTACATAAGACATTAAACGATTTGTGTGCGAAAGGCATAATTGAACCGATTCAATCTTCAGCATGGGGTACTCCTATTGTTACGCCACTGAAGTCGGACGGCAAGACCCCTAGAATATGTGATAACTATACATTAACATTAAACTCCCGTTTGTTAAAGCAAACGTGCACGACGATAGACGCTGAAGATGTTCTAAATTGACTTCATGATTCTAAAGTGTTCTCGAAAGTTGACCTAAAAGATGCTTATTCTCAAATTCCTTTAGATCAATCTTCATCTATTTGGACGACAATTAACACTCCTTTTGGTCTGTTCCAATACAATTTCCTTCCATTCGGTCTAAGTTGTTCTCCAGCCATATCATAGGAAGTGATGAACAAAGTTAGAGATCTTGAAGGTGTTGAAGTTTATCAAGATGATCTCATTGTTCATAGCTCTGATAATGTAGTTCATGACGAGAGACTTATTGCTTTATTACGCCATTTAATTGAGAAGAATATTACAGTGAATCCAAAAAACTTTTTATTTTGTGTATCTAGTTTTGAATGTCTTGGATACCTAGTTGACGGTAATGGTTTTAGACCAGATATGAAACGACTAGCTCTACTAAAAAATGCACCGTCTCCAAAACATCTTACGACACTACGTTCACAAGTGAGCGTTCTTCAATAATATTCCCCTTACGTTAGAAATTTTTCTTGTCTTGAAAATTGTATATTTAATATTTTGACATCCAATCAAATCAGGTGAGGGACAGGATTCACGCTTAGGAAGTCTCCTAAAGTTTCTTCAAAGTGATGGTGTTCTTCGAACTTACTCCCCTAGTGTACATTCTGTGCTTAATACTGATGCATCACCTGTGGGTATTGATGCAGTTCTGGAGCAGGAAGGTAGACCAATTATCTGAGTTTCATACAAACTTACTGTTACTGAACAAGGTTATTCACTAACCCACCGAGAAGCATTAGCTGTGTTTTGGGCTGTTAAAAGACTTCATAAATACTTATTTGGAAAGGAATTCACTAATGTCACTGAACATGAAGCTTCAAAGTTTATTTATCACCCTGAAAAATCCTTAGCACGTTCCTCAGCTGCTATGGTTCAACAACGAAGTATTGCCTTGAGTGCCTATGACTACATTTCTCGACAATCATTGCAAGATAGATCTGTTAATACTCCAGATTGTTTTTTGGTGCAACCTTTTCCAGTGAGGCGTCCAGTTCTCATTAGAGAAACTCGTATATACTTTGGTTGTATACTCAGTGCTATACGGAAAGGCTGGAATGTTAATCTGAAACGTAGATCGCCTGTCTATTTTTCAAAGCGGGATGAGCTATCCACTACTACTGGGGGTATTTTGTGTTTAAATGAACGTCTTGTTATCCCTCTTTCATTACGCAAATCTTTTCTTGAAGATCTTCATAGTGAACATTTAGGTGTTGAGAAAATTAGGTCTTTGACAAGGCACACATGTTGGTGACCGGAGATAATTTCAGATATATGTCGTACAGCGAACAATTGTAGAAAATGTCATAAGTCAAAATGTCAGCCTTCGAAGTTTACTCCATGGCCAGTATCATCTGAGGCCGGGCAGAGAATTCATGCAGACTATTGTGATCCATTTCTTAACAAATACTATGAACTTGTAGTCATTGCTTCTTTTTCAAAGTGACCTGAAGTTTCTTCCACAACTTCACCAAATTCTGACTTCACAATTCAAGCAATAATAAGGGTATTTAGTCGGAAAGGCGTTCCTATGGTATTATTGGCTGATAATGGCTCTCATTTTGCTGCAGACTCACCTGAGCTACAAATCTTCTCCACCATCTCAGACTCACTCAATATCTGGTTGAATGGTATGGGGTGCAAGCATCTGTTCACAGCTCCCAGGCACTCTTGTTCTAATGGTCATGCGGAAAGTTTCGTCAGGACATTGTAAACTGCCATCGGTTCTACTGCGGATTCAACATTTAGTGAACTGGAGAGTGAGCAAACACATTCCTACTGCAATATAGAAATGCCAAAAATTCGGAGACGAAAGAGACTCCATCCAAGCAATTAAAGGGAAGAATTTTTCGTTCCAATGTGAAGTGTTTGGAGTCTGCAGTAGTTGCATTTTATCGTGGAAATGATCGTTAACTAGCCACTGGAATCGTGGTGAACACTGTTGAGAAATCCATGAGTCGAATTCTAGATATCAACGATTTAAGTACACAAAAGCGATATGTTGATCAGATACAATTCCACAAACCAGGTGATTTTGTCCCAATTCTCGTTGTTAATTCTAATACTAATGAGTACATTCTAGATTATACAGAGTCCTTATCCAATACACAGGATGAACTGGTGAAGAAGACGTACAATCGATTACAGACACTTAGACTTTAATATAAGTTGTGGCGGATGTGGTGTTTGCATGAACTAATGATTTCTTTGTACTTGATGAATACTTGATTTCAAATTCCGAATCAGTACATTCGTTCGTGCTTTTCTAGTACTTTTTGATCCGATTACGTTTGTGTGA